ACATTAAAATCCACATGTTAAATCTGATGACTGGACAGGCCAGCCCCCGGGGACGCTGCTGGTGCTCGAGGAAGAAGAACCCATAGATCTGGCGTCACGAAAAAATCGTGACGGAGGTTTTCCCCCGTTTTCGGCCCCTCGGGGCCCTCAGCGGGCCTCGGGAGCGTCGAAAAACGACTCTGGCTGAAAGACCGGTCCCGGGGAAGTGGTCCAGAGGTCGGGAGCCCGCGTCTGGATGTCTGGGAATATTGCACAGGCAGGAGACCGAGAGATCCGAGGCTCTGACAAAAATGCTGCTTTCGGCTTCGGGGGCCCTCAAGGGGCCCCAGGACCGGAACAAAAAAATTTATGATGCAGTTGTCCAGGCCTTCGGGAGGCCGCGCATCGAAAAAGGGGTTTGGGAAAGGGAAAGCCTGCACAAGCACGAGAGCAGAAACTTTCGACGGTCTGCTCGGGTATCTGGGCATCCCTGGCGCGCTCCGCGCGCCGGGGGTGCTGCCCGGTGCGGGCCCACCAGCCCCGCCCAGAGTCCCCATGCGCGGGCGGAACGCAACGGCATATAAGCACAAACTTTTGGCTGTCCGCGCGGACTTCCCCAGACATCTGACGTCTCGACAAAAATCGAGACGGAGGTTTTTCCTTGTTTTCGGCCTCTCGGTGCCCTTAGCGGGCCTCGGGAGCGCCAAAAAACGATTCGGGCTGAAAAACCAGTCCCGGGGAAGAGGTCCAGAGGTCGGGAGCCCGCGTCTTGGAAAAATCAAGGCGCTGGATGTCTGGGTCTTGCCTCTGCGCTGGACCCCGTTGGCGGCGCCCCCGGCGCGTGCCGCGCGCGAGGGTGTCCAGCGCAGATCCAGGACACCCGCGCGGGCCGTCGAAAGCGAATGTTTGTGCCGTTGCGCCCGGCCCACGCACGGGGTGTACGCGATGGGTTTCTTTAGAAGCGTGTCGCCTCGTCGTCGCGCCGCGACCGGGGTCGGAGCGCCTTCGGCGCGCGGTGGCTGCCCGCGACGGGGGTCGATGTGGGGCTGTCGGCGGGGGTGACGCCCCCCCGACGCTTCTCAAGAAACTCGACGTACCATGGGCTGGGCTGGTTGGGCCCCGCCGAGCACCACCCCACGTCGGCGCAGGGGCGAGCGCGCAGTGGTCCGCGGCCGAGGGCGCAAAAGCGAGCGACAGGCCGCAGCTGGCGCCCTGGCGCAGCAGCCCCCCCCCAGCTCGAGTCGGGTCTCTGGTCATGCCTCGGGCCTCTGGCGGCCGTTCGGGGCCATACGGGCACTCCCCCAAACGCCTCTCGGCGAGGCGCAGCTGCTGGAGAGCACCCCGGCGCTGGAAATCCGCCGAGAGCCAACGAGAGCGTCCGAAAATCTCGAACCCCGAGGACCCCCACCCAGACATGTCATGCTTCGGTTTGTTCAATACGGGGTCCCTGGAAGGCAAGTCCTCGGCGGGCCTCGGAGGCCCGCCGAGGGCTCCCAGACCGAAAACTGCCAGAAACCTCCCGTCCTGACTTTCAGTCGGGCCTGTCCCTCTACATGGGGGATCTTCAAAAATAGCAAAAAAACATCGTCAGGGGACTCTTTTTTGAGTATGTTTGACCATATGGGAGTATTTTTTTGGGGGGCCCGACTTGATCCTGACTGTTGTGCAGGACGCGAGCATCTCTGGGCAGCTCTGCCGCTGCGTGCCCGTACACCTTATGCGATGCTTAAGAAAACCTAAGTTTTCGGCCAGAGTCTCGATTTTTCTTAACGTTTCAATGTAAATCCCAAGATGTTGATAGACATTCTGGGTTTTTATTCCATTTCTTAGACTATGAATTTCTTAACCCATGATTTCTAAAGCATTTCGCAGGGTGCATTCGCCTCCGGGGGGCAGCCCACCGCTCGCTCTGAGCGGCGGCCCGGCCGTCTCGCACGCCTTAAGGCGCCCGCAGGCCGAAGAAGACGCCTGGGCGGCTCGAGCCTCGCCCGCGTGCCGCCCGGGCCCCGCCGCCGCCCCTGGCCCTTCGGGCAGAGGTCGACCCCTGGGCCTCTTCTCCCTAAGGGCTTGTCGACTTTTCGCCAATCGACTTGTGAGAATCGAGCCAGATAAACCCAGGTAAATGCAGATAAATCGAGGTAAATCCAGGTAAATCTAGATAAATCTGGGTAAATCCAGGTAAATCCAGAGATCTCCAGGGAAAGTTCGAGCACTTCGCGGCCGCTCCAGCGCGAGTCGAAGGACGGCAGAAGTCGTTAAGCCTTTAACGATCTTCTGGGGTGCGGTCTGGTGAGAACCCAGACCCCCTCGCGGCGTGAAAAAATCACGACGGGAGGGTTTTCGCCATTTTCAGCCTTTGGGAGCCCTCGCCGGACCTCGGGACCGTCAAAGAACGGCTCAGGATGAAGAGCCAGTCCCAGGGAATGGGTCGAGACCTCTGGGGGTCGACGTCATGAAAAAATCATGACGTCGGGGGCCTGGAAATCTCGAGGCGGATCCAGCCGCGGCCACGAGGGCGCCCCAGGACGCTCCAAGGCATCCAGAAAACGAGCCTCGAGCCTGAACCTCGAAGCCTCGATGCTGACGCTGACGTTGTCGGCATGAGTCTCGTGCTGGATGCTGCCACCCGAGATCGCAAGAAGGAGCAGCTGCGTAAACATGCCTCGTCGGAGCTCCGCGCGAGTTCGTCGGAGCTCCGCGCGAGTCTCTTGGACCGGCGCTGCCCCCCTCCGGCGCCGCTCCTGGCGCGATCCGTGCGCCGAGGAAGGGGGGTCCAGCGCCGATGCAAGAAATCCGGGCGGAGCGCCGAACATTTATGTTTGTGCCGTTTTTTGTTCCACCACGAGGGAAAAAACACACACTGTGGGAACAAAAAACACATACGTGTTTTTTTTTGTCCCACGTGTTTTTTGTCCCACAGTGTGTGTGTGTTATTTTTCCCCCACTGTGTGTGTGTGTTTTCCCACTGTGTGTGTGTGTGTGTCTGTGTGTGTGTGTGTCTGTGTGTGTGTGTGTGTGTGTGTGTGCGTGCGTGCGTGCGTGCGTGTGTGTGTGTGTGTGTGTGTGTGTGTGTGTGTGTGTGTGTGTGTGCGTGCGTGCGTGCGTGCGTGTGTGTGTGTGTGTGTGTGTGTGTGTGTGTGTGTGTGTGTGTGTGTGTGTGTGCGTGCGTGTGTGCGTGCGTGCGTGCGTGCGTGCGTGTGTGTGTGTGTGTGTGTGTCTGTGTGTCTTTTGTATGCTCGTGCCGTTTTTGGTTCCTCGACGAGGGCCAGCCGAGCAGCACAAACAAGCGGATCCTCGGCGCCGACAGGCGGCGCGCGCAGGCTGCCCGCGCAGGCTCGTCGGCCCGCGCAGGCCACCCGCGGTGGGCGCGCCTGCGGCAGCCTGCGCCAGGGGCCCTCTTGCGCTCGACGCTCGGGTGACGTTGGCGCCGTCGGCACGAGCTGCTCGGCATCGCTCGGGCGTGTGCATTTTTTCCCTCGGCGAGGGCCATCGAGGAGCCGTCGGCATTGCAAAAAAACCCAGCATTGCAAAGGATTGCAAAAAAAAAGATTGCAATCCTTCGTTGCTCGGCATCTCAAAAAAGGGTTGCAGAGGATTGCAGACAAGGATTGCAAAAAAGGGTTTTTTTTGCAATCCTTCGTTCAAAGGGTTTTTGTTGCAATCCTTCGTTGCTCGGCGTCGCTCGGGCGTGTGCATTTTTTCCTTCGGCGAGGGCCATCGAGGAGCATCCCGGATCGCTTGGAGAAGAAGCCACGCGCGAAACCGACAAAAAAGACACGGGGAATGGGCGTCCGAGCGATGGCCAGGTTAGGGGAACAAAGCATGGCATAAGCATAAAAACTCGGAGGTCCGCGCGGATCTCTCGGATCGGCGCTGGACCCCCTCCCTGGCGCGCGGAGCGCGCCAGGGGCGGCGCCGGAGGCGCCGCTGGGGGGCCCCAGCGCCGATCCGAGAAATCCGCGCGGACCTCCGAGTTTTTATGTTTATGCCACTTTTTGTTCCCCCATGAGTATCGTGGTGGATGCCACTACCCGAGAACCAGCTCGTTGTCTTCCCCCCCCTCAGTTGCCCTGATACGCCCGCTTATGAAGCCCAGCACGCGCCGTGCTCAACACGTCCGTGCCAACATGCCGCGCGTGGGCTCGGCATGTGCTGGCCCACGTTTTGCCGAACGCATCGCGCCAGAACTACGCGTTCGTTCTGCCTGTGGACTCCGTGTCAACACGCTGCGTGTTGCGCGTCAGGGCTCGAGCCAAACGGTGCTCTGGCGACTTCGTGGACCGCTTCCGTGTTGCCTGCCTTCGTCCCGCAGCCTGCGCAGCAAAGACGGAACGGGGGCATAGCGAGGGGAAGCGACAGCAAATACGCAAAACACTGTTTGGCGCGAGCCCCGCTGCGTGCTGCTTACCGGCCCCGGGGCGGTTCACTGCCCCCCGGGTGCCAAAATCACGACCAGAGCCCCGGACCCCATCTTTCTCGAGCCGGCTCGATTTGTGAGGGTCCGGGGCCCGACAGGGAGCGAAAACGCCCGCAGTGAAAAAGTTGCAACGCCAGGATCTCAGGCTAAGCGATGCGTGTTGCTCACCGGGGCAGCTCACTACCCCCCCCCCCCAGGTGCGGGTGCGGCCCGTCGCCGTCGTCGTCATCGTCGCCGTCGTCGTCGTCGTCGTCGTCGTCGTCGTCGTCGTCGTCGTCGTCGTCGTCCTTGTCGTCCTTGTCGTCCTTGTCGTCCTTGTCGTCGTCCTCGTCGGCGTCGTCGCCGTCGCCGTCGTCCTTGTCGTCCTTGTCCTCGTCGTCGTCGTCGGCGTCGTCGTCGGCGTCGGCGTCGTCGGCGTCTTTGTCGTCGGCGTCGGCGTCGGCGGCGGCGGCGTCGGCGTCGTACCCCCCCGAGGTGCGGGTGCGGCCCGCCGGCGGCGCCGCGGAGCTCCTGGGCGGGGCGGTGCTCCGCGTCCGCAGCCCGCCGCGGCCGCCCCCGCTCACGGGCGCCGGGGGCCTGCCGGAGCTCCGCCCGGGCCCGCCAGGCCTCGGGGGCGGCGCTGTCGGGCATTGGCGGGGCGCCCCCTTGGACGCCGAAGATGAAGAAGGAGAAGAAGGATAATAATAATATAAAGAAGGAACACCATAAGATGAACCATAAAAAATCGAATATGAATGATAATAACTAAACAGAATAATAATACTGAGAAGAAGAAGAAGAAGAAGAAGAAGAAGAAGAAGAAGAAAGAGAAAGAGAGGAGGACGAGGAGCATCATCGAAGAGAAAGGAGGAGGAGGGGGGAAGAGGAGGAGGAGGAGGAGGAGGAAGATAATAAGAAGAAAGAACGAGAGCGAACGAAGACGAAAAGAAGACGCATAATAATAGACTCGGAGGAGGGAAAGTTACCCATGCCACTACCCTTCCCTCGTTTTCCTCTTTTTGGGCCTCCCATGGGAGGCCCTCCTCGCCACCGCTGGATTCGCTTCGCCATTCTGGTCAGAACGCCCCCTTGGGGAGAGGCCCGGGGAGTAGCGGTGTCGGTACTTCTCGGTGTCCCCGGCATGAAGGACGTCCCGGCGCGTCTCGCAGGCCGCGCTGACGCGCGGGCATTTCAATGCGAGTCGGTGACTCGGGCGGGCGCGGTGTCATGGCGACGTCGGCAGGGGCGGACACGATGATGATAGTAACGAGGCTGGTGACGGTGGTGACAAGGACAACAACAAGGCCAATGACGGCGCCGCTGCTGATCACGCCGAAGACGATGATGGTGCCCACTCCACGTGCCGACAAACATGAATCGTCGACCACTTGCGAACCCGACACTGACGGGCCCAATCGACGCTCGGGTACAGTATACCCCCGCTGGGGTTCACCTGGCTGCAGACATCCTTCGATTTCGAAGCCTGCAGCCGCCGTTTCAGAAGTCTGACCTGCAGGGGACATGCGATTGTCTCAAGCAGGTGCACAAACATAAACTTTCGGAGCTCCGCGCGGACCTCTTGGGGTCCAGCGCCGATCCAAAACAATCGGTTCGGACCGCCGAGAATAGATGTCGGCCTTTGCGGGAACACACAACCAGAGAAGTTGGCAGGAAAACATCACGGGCTCATCCGATATTGGCACTCGAGTGTGCAGGCGCAGTCCCCAGCCATTCGTTGATCGACGTGCGTTTTCCCCGATGCACTCCGTAGCTTCTGCACGTCGATTAGCTATTCCGCCTGTGTCCACTCGGAATGCGGCGCCGTTGGCATGTGGAGTGCGTTGGCAGTTTTCACGAACGGACGTTTTGCTATAGGGGATTACGCCCCCCCCCCCCCCCCAAACGTTACGGAGGGAAAGGCTCAGGAACACATTCAAAACAAACATTGGTTTCCTGGGTTCAAGAAGTCTGTCTCCTAGCGCTGTCGCGCCTGAGGGTGGCTCGCCAGGTTTGCGAAGCAGGCGAGTAGCAAACAACAGTTGGACAGCAGTGCGTGGCGGGGGAAGCATCAACGCAGCGTGCACCAGAACCGTCAGCACTTTGGCCCGTGAGCCGCCTCGAGCGGCGTGCATCGCAGCCGCCGTAACTTTCGCTTTGATCCTGAAAAGAACAAAGTGTTTGGCTGTGTTTGTTTTTCTGGTGCAATTGACGCTTCCGGGGCCAAGGCCCATCTCGCCCCCTCGCCACCCCCCCTTGGACGATGGCAACGATCGTACGCAAGGGGGTGGGCTGGACCCTCCCCCACATGATGGTGCTCGCGCGCATATTGGTCACAGTGGGGGACGATGACGGCGCCCTCGCATCGGCGATGCAGGTTTTGGAAAGGGTCGACATGCGCGCTCGGCCGACGTGCGAGAGTGGTCCGCGTGGTTTTATTTGACGCGGATCGCGCCCCCCCCTCCCCCACCACCACCACCGCCGCCGCCGCCGCCACCACCGCCACCACCACCACCACCACCACCACCACCGCCACCACCACCACCACCACCACCACCACCACCACCACCGCGCGATGTCGGCATGCGGCGCGAGAGGCCTGTTTAGCAGAAATCCATGCGAATGTTGAAACACCGATGGTTTTCTTCAGACTTCGCAAGAGCGCGCGCGAAAGCTTGTTTTGCAGACTGCGTTGCGAAACCATGTGTTTTGACATTTGGTTTCGAAATCGTTGCGAAACCGAAGGTTTTGGACGGATTTCGGCACGCGCGCGCAACGACGCGCGCGCGCTTTTCGCCCCCCCACTCTTGGCAGAGGATCCTCGCGACGGGATTCGCGCAACGGCGCTCGCGCGATTTCGACGCGCGCGCGAGGCCTGTTTGGTAGCATGTTCTGAAAATGGGGGAAAACTACGTTTTTTTTACATAGGCATGAATTAGCAAGAGCGCGCGCGCTTTGTCTTCGAAAATTGCACTCGGTTTTGAAATCCTTCCGAAGCCGAAAACTTTTCTGCGAATTTCGGCATGCGCGCGACGACGCGCGCGCGTGCACTTCGCCCCATCTGTTGCGAGGGACTTATGAAAACTTTTGGTTTTTGATCAACGCGTGCGCGCTTAGTATTTCGTTGCAGAGGATGGCGGGGGGGGGGGGGGAGGGGGGTCGATGCCAGTTGGGCCGGGGTGGTATGGGTTCATAGTTACGATGGGCGATGGGGGGGAATTACGTTACAAGTGCAATGCGAAAACGGGTGCCGATAAGCCCGGGGCGGGGGGTAGAGTTTATTTATTCTTTAGGAGAACCTACGCGGTGCAATCCACCGATGCTCAACTCGAAGTTGCCCACTCCGCTGCTCGCGCAAACATCCCACCCACCCACCCGCAACTTGGTTTGCAAACCCCGTGCGGAAGCGATTGCGATGGGTGCTTGGCCTTGGCCGGTGCATCTCTGCGGCCGCGCTAGCCCGCGCATTCTCGCGCGCGCAGCGGCCAGCTAGTTTGGCGCGACCGACGCGAACGCGGCGGCGCTCGCCGCTGGGCACATCCCAGCGGGCACTGCAGTGCGAGTCGGAGACTTGGGCGGGCGCGGTGCCGCGGCTACGTCGACGGCGGTGGACGCGACGGTGATCGTAGCGACGCTGGCGACGATGCTGACGGCGACGACGGGGCAGCCAGTGACGGCGCCGACGCTGATCACGCCGAAGACGATGACGGTGTCTTCGCGTCGGCGAGGAAGGTTTTGGAAAGAATTCGAAATGCGCGCGCGGCAGACGCGCGAGAGTGGCCCGCGCGGTGTTCTTCGACGCGAATCGCGCCAACCCAGCCCGCGCGCAAGGGCGCCCGAACGATTTCGACATGCGCGCGCGACGCCCGTTTGGTCGCATGCTATGAAAATGTTGCAACAAACCGCTGGTTGTTGAATGATTCGGCAAGAGCGCTCGGGCAGATGTTTCATAATTGTTGGGCGCGAAATTCAAATGTGTTTCATGGGTTTTCTTGAAGCGGGATGTTGAAATCGTTGAACGCATTGCGCGTTTGGTTTTCGACGCGCGCGCAGCGGCCGCGCGCGCGCCCCGCGTTGCATTATTTCATCAGGGCTTCGTGCCACAAGCTCATCTGGGATAAATGCATGTGCGCCGCATGGTACGATGTTGACACGGATGAAGGGGGGGGGGTCGATGCCGGCCGGCATGGGATGGCATGGGCTCACAAGGGAAATTTACAAAGGGTCACGATCATATGCGAATCTCCTATCGAAGCGCGTGGCTGATAACCCCGGGGGGGGGGGGGGGGGGGCGATGGGGGTGCAGTCTTTTTATGTGAAAAAGTTGATCTTGACATACGAGTTGACACATCCCATGCTCTTTCAAACGTCCCACCCGCCCACCCGCAATTTGATTTGTTGCAAGACGCATCCGGTGGCGATTGCGATGAATGCTCGGCGTTGGCAGGTGCATCTCTGCAGCCGCGCCAGCCCTAGCGCGCGCAGCGGCCAGCTATTTTTTTGCCGCCGAGGCGGCCGCGGCGGCGCTGACCGCTGGGCGCGTCCCAGCGGGCACTTCAGTTCGAGTCGACAACTTGGGCGGGCACGGCATCATGTCAACGCTGATTACGGTAAACACGACGATGTGAGTGGCGATGCTGGTGGCGATGTTCGCACCGACGATGGCGCGGCCAGCGCGGGCGCCGATGCCGATCGCACCGACGACGATGACGCCGTACTCGCGTAGATGATGAAGGTTTTGGGAGGAGTTCGGAATGCGCGCGGCAGACGCGCGAGAGTGGCCCGCGCGGTCTTATTTGACGCGGATCGCCCCCCCCCCCCCCCGCCCCCCAGCACGCGCGCAAGGGCGCGCGAAGTCCATGGACATGTTGAACAAAAACACATTGTTTTCTTTGGAATTTGCCAGAGCGCGCGTGCAACCTTTTCTTGAAAACCGATGCTGCGAAACCAGCTTTGTTCGATTGTGCCTTTGACATTCGGTTTTGAAGCCGTCGCGCAGCTGGAGGTTTTGGACGGTTTATGGCGCGCGCGCGCGCGCGACGACGCGCGCGCGCGCATGTCGCCCCATTTTCTACCAAGGATCCTCGCGACGGCACGCGCGCAGAGGCGTTCGAACGATTTTGGCACGCTCGCGCGAAGCTCGTTCGGTTGCATGTTCTAAAAATTTTGCCCTGTTTAAAGAAAACGCTTTTTTTTTTTTTTTTTTTTTTTTTTAAAAAAAAAAAAAAAAAAAAAAAAAATGCAAGGGCGAGCGCTTCTTCATAAAATAATCTGCGCTGCGAAACCATGTGCTTATTGTTTTGGGACGGTCGATTTTGACATCCTTCCAAAGCCGATGCATGTTGAATGGTTTCAGCATGCGCGCGCGACGACGTGCGAGCGCGCACTTCGTCACATTTTGCGCAGAGGCGTCTCAGCAACTGATGCTTTTGTCGAACGAGTGCGCACGCATAGTATGTTTTGCAGAGGATGGCGGGGGGGTCGAACCGGCTTGGCTGAGATGATTTGAGGTCATACTCCGGATGGGCGATGGGGCAGAATCATATGTGAATTGCAATGCAATAAGGTGCGCGTATAAAGCCGGGGGGGGGTCCGAATTCTTTTTTTCGGAAGAAATAATTTGCCGAA